TCGCTGTCGGACATGTCGTCGAAGAAAGGCTGCAGGTTGGGCAGAGCGGTGACTGACTGGCTGGGCTGTGGGGTGCCAGCAGCGTCCAGGTGCAACCCCGCCTTCTGTCCCTGAGTAAGAAACATGTTTAGACTGTGCAACAGTGGACGTGAATATGATGAGTACATTGTTTCTGAATAACAGCAGTGCACAGTGACAGTGTTAGTGGTGACACCATGTGGCAAGAAGATGTTACTGTTTGGAAGATGCAGACTTCCCTGCTCTACTGCATTATGTTTCATTACGTCTTTATAAATATGTCCACAAAATTAGTTTCCAGAACTACATTTTTATACATTTAGCATTTGAAGCTCCTCATTCAAAACTATAATCTAAAATAGAATAATTTTAAATCTATTTCCTACTAAATGACGTGTGTTTGAGAAGTCAAGTACAACATTGGGTAACATGGGAATTCACACAAGTCCAATCAAAAAAGGAAAAGCATGTTTTATAAAGACATTTTCCGAGTACCAGTCGAACCTTTTTGATTGGTTGGCTCGCTGGCTCGGCCTCTGTCTGCTCTTCTGATTGGCTTTCAGTGCTGGGGAGTTTACTTGGAGTTGACTGCAATCTCTGAAAAATGACAAGCAGAGGAGGTTGCAGATAAATATTTCATCCAACGCCGTATCATTAACCCAGTACAGTCCACAACAACGCTCTGTTCCACCAAACCTGCAGTGGGATGCGTCCGTTGGTTTTGGCCAGTGACGACACTCCATTCTGTCCATGCGTGGTGTGACTGGTGAGGGCGATCAGGTAGTGGTTGCCGTTGCTGTCAGTGACCAGTGTTGGTGTTCCGTTTGCCTTGAGCAGGTCTAATGAAATGGCCTGAGTGTGGATCTGAGTGCCATTCTGTTGGCTGATGAAGACTGGGGTTGCCTGGAAACAGACATCAAACAGTGAGTTTTACTATTTTACTTCACTTATGGTTTTACTTTTACTTTTCACCACAGTGAAAGTTCAGCTTATTAACACAACTACTGTCACTACTCTTTTCTTCTGTCATGCTTACTTATCCGGAACCACTGGGGGTTTTTACCTGTTGTGTGGTGACAGCTGCTGCCTGCTGTTTCTGCTGCTGGGCCTTCAGCTGCTTCCTTTGCTGGCCTGAGTTCCCTGCAGGCTTCTGACTCACTGCTGTCTGGTTCTGTATCTGCACCTGAACCTGCTTCAGCTGGTTCCTCTGTTGGCTCTGCTGAACGTGCCCTTGGGTTTGTTTGAGCTTCTGTTGTGTGAGTTTCTGTTGGGCCAGTTTCTGCTGAGCTAACCTCTGCTGGGCCTGGAGCTGTTTCTGTTGGGTCTGCTGTATGATGAGCTGCTGGAGGATTTGAGTGTCTTTCTTCTGTTGTTTTTGAGGGTTTGATTTAGCCTCTGCCACTTTCTGGAGCTGCACCCGATTCTGCTGCAGTCTGGGTTGTTGCAGCTGTTGTTTCTGCTGCTCTGCTTGTTGGATCTGCAGCCGATGAATCCGCTGCAACCTGAGCAGAGTCTCCTGAGAGCACTGCATTGGCTGGGCCAGTTTCTTTGCCTGGGCCTCTTCTGTTACACCCTCCATCTCTTCCTCAGGTTCCCCCTCCTTCTTTACTTCTACCAAAATGCTGTTATGGAGCGTCAGGGGCAGAATGGGTGAGGCTTTGATCAGAGTTTGAAGTTTAACCTCTGGGGATGCTTTGCTCTTCTCACTCTCTTCTTTCTTCACCACTATTCCACCTGCCAGCTTGCCCTGCTCCAGCTGGGACCTGAGCGTCTCCACCAGCCTCTGCTTCTGTCTCAGCATCCTGGTTAGCTCCTCGATCTTTTTGTCCTTCTCCTGGAGCATCTGGTCCTTATCCATGGAAGATCGGTCCAGAGGCTCTGGAGGCTGGCCTGAGGCAGGCAAAGACCTGGACAGGCTGCATGAGCTCTGGAGCTCCTCTTTGACCATACAGAGAGGCTGTGAGAGTGGAGAAATGTTTGATGGGTGCTGAGGTGATGGGTGCAGGGTGAGCTGGGTCAGGGGAGAGCTCACCTGAAGGAGCAACAGAACAAGAAGAGTGTCAGGGAAGGGCAAATATGAGCAACCCATCCAACAATGACAAACAAAGGTCAGTCTTACCATCTCTCCAAACATATCTCCGTTACAGCTCATCTCATCCGGACTCATCCCTGCCAATGACCTCTCGGACGGAGTAGGTGACACCGGTGGGCTGGAGCTGGTGCTGCCAAAACGCATGACTCTCCCAGGAGCCATCTGGGCCAATGAGGATAAAGCCAACTTAAACCCAACCTCTCCTGATTGGTGCTCAGTAGTGGTAGTTTTGGCTGGAGAGGATGTGATGATGCTAGCAGCAGAATTTTCACCCTGCTGGCTGGGCTGTGACACGCCATTTTTCAAAATCGCTGGGGTGCCGCCATTTTGCTCCTGGTAGTTGCGGAGCCTCTCGATGAGATCGTTCTTGGTTCCTGAGACAGTCAAGCCACGCAATTTCAGTTCCTGTTTCAACTCAGCGACCTGGAGGATGAGAAATCAGACAGGCACTCATATAGCAGGGATTGACTCAGAGCGAAAGAGAACAAAGTCACTGCTATGCTTCACAACCACATTTGCAAACCCACAGAGCTGAGAGGAGAGGTCAGGCTGCATGACACTCGCGCTCAGCCCTAGATGGTTTTGAGCCAGTGTGTATCCTTGAAATGAAAAAACTGAGGGCAGGACTTTCCATTGTGGATTAGTTGTGGGAGTGTTTTGGGGGAACATGTGGCTCAGCAAAGTACACACATTCTCAAGCTGACAGTGATTTATAAAGGGCAGTTGCTTGAAGGTGTGTGTGCAGAGTTTCTTGTTAATCTGAGTATTTTACAGCATCCACCTTCTCCTGTGATTTGTGCACATGTAAACTTTTGGACATGCAGTATTATAAGTGAGGCCCCAGGGCTCTACAAATTGTTCAGACCAAATCAACCTGAGCTATGACCAAAAATTAAGCCTCATCTCATTTCTGCTATGTAGCCAAGGGATCACGCACAGCAAAGGCTGGAAACCGCTTGTTCAATTGGACTTTTGAGGGTATATATGTGAATGCACAGCCACATCTGACATTACTGGGTTGTTTGCATTAGTCAGCAAGAAGTGTTTTACCACACACTTCCCGACCTCCTTCAATAGCTCGCAGTTAAAACACGTAGCAGAAAGAAATTCTATAAAATTCAGGTTGGCAGATACATTTATGACATTTATGGTTATATGTTTAAATTACTTTGAACTCATCGAGGTTGGCTGGCAGAGGGCCTGGTTTGGCTCCTCCCCCTGCAGGTTGGCTCTGACGGGCAGTCCCACTCTGATTGGAGGGGGCTGGAGTGGCCGTCGTGGGAATGCTGCGGGAGGGGGAGGGGCCAGAAGTGGTTGTGGGAGGCTGTTCGGTCGAAGGCCTGAGAAAAAAAGAATAAGTATGAATATCACCTTCGCCTCTTCGGACAGAACAGTGTTGTAACAGAGGTCAGGTGGCAGGTGTGACAACTAGTAAGTCAGCTGTCTGCTGTATTAAATTTTAGTAGTGAAATATCCCAATTTACAAAATTACTTTTCCTTGTCCTTGTATTGTTATATGACAGCATCATTACAGTAAATCAGTTTTATTTCCTTCTGTTAATTGCTTCTTATGCATCTAGAATCATCTGATCACCTAACGCTAATCAATCATTTTTGCCAATCAAGTCAAAGTATAATTTTCATCGTTTTAAGTTTTAATGCCTCAGGAAACTAAGTTGCACGTTTACTGTCGAGCCACACTGAGATGGAATTCAGGCATTTGCAAACAACTTTCACTTTAAGCTCTGGTCTCTCACCAAAAAAACCACAAATGTGGCAGGAACAAGCCATAGCAGAACGTTTGGAAGAACACAGCAAGTCATAATAGAAACTGCCTGCAGTCTGTGCTGCAGAATGAACATGAGGAAGAAATAGGAGGGTGGCAACCTCGTTTCCTTTTCAAGTAAAACCACTGAGATCAGTCATCCTCACTTCCACACCACACATATACACACACGCCATGCTTGACACTAACTTTGGTGGGGCAGGCAGGATGGTGTGGTAGTTGTAGTGCTGCTGTTGCTGGCTGAGAATCTGCAGCTGCAGGAAGAGCTGCTGCTGCTGCAGGAGCTTTGCATAGGACGAGTCCATCTGTGGCGGACGCTCCTTGTCTGTTTTCTGATCGGGAGGGATGTACTGGTGGTACTTCAGCTTCTTCACCTACAGTATTAGATCCCATTAAAGTCTGAGATTTATCCTGTCTTGGTCTTCACCGGTTACTGATACATGACATTCAATAGTTCAATTAGTAATAGCATAACAATGACAAAAGAGCAAGTATTTTCAGTTCAGCAAAAACAAATCTGTATTTTGGTGTACTGAGGATGCTGAGGTTTCAGAAAATGGTATCTCTTCCTTTTGTGATAGATTTCTCGTATGACTATTCAAAGAAAAGTTCTACAGGAACTGACACCACCGCCCTCTAAATGGCCCCTTCCAAATCTGAGCTATTACTGCACAAACACTCTAAAATTTTTAAGGCCAAACTGCTGTCATAAATATTACTAAAAGTGGGTGGCCAACAGCTACTCTTATTTCATATTTGTCTCTTTATAGTCTACTGTAATGATGATCCCCCCAACCCTGTAAGTCCTGTGTCAGCGCATGTAAATATGAAAGCGGAACAAAACACTCGCTGACCTTGGGTTTGTTGTCCTTTGCTTTCTTAGGTCTTTGTGGAGGACGATCTGAACTCGTCTTAGCCTGAGACTGTTGACAGAAACCGTGAGAAATGGGGTCAAGGAGGAAGAAGAAAGGAAATGATGGGGGAGGGTCAGCCTGTTATAGCTGCTCCACAAATAGCGATTAAGGTCACCTTTATACATAAATCATTGAGTCTGCAGGATGTTCAAAAGGAAATTAGTTAATATTCTAAGATTGTATGTACAGAGAGGAGAATAACCAGCATTCACATACCTTGACCTGCCCAGCAGAGGGGCGGGAAGTCGCTGTCATCCCATTGGTCAATTTTGGGAGGGGGGAGGACTCTGACCCATTCACCTGAGGAGGAGGTGGTGGAGGTGGGGGCTGCGTAAGAAACTGAGATACAATTACTCTGGTTAATGGATGTTGCTATCCAGTGATTACTTAGTTTTATGGATGACTACATTTTGCTTGAATCGTTTCAAGCTCAAGTGTACATTGTCTTGACTGGATTAAAATGGCGTTCAGTACCTGTGTGGGAGAAATGTCCCCATTCTGGCTGAGCACGTCGGAGGGGGACAGTTGAGGGACGGCACTCAGGGGAGAGTCGTGATTAGTTAGCTGATCTGGTGACAGTGCATCGCTGCTGTCTTCATCTAAGGACGAGCTCTCTCCCCCTGCTCCCTTTGGAGAATCTGTGACAGAGCACAAATGTTTTCAGCTTGTGAGAAACAACAAAGTTACAGCAGCATCTCTTGGTGGTTTGTTATAAACATCTGTGGCCTGTAAAGGAGGGAAATGGCTAATGAGTTCAAGAACTTGTGTAGCCACTCTGGCCAGAGAGAAAAACTATTCTTCACAATGTGTAACATAGTCAGACAAGTCATGGAGATTGGCAAACAGTGATGACTACTTTTAGAGAAGTTATACAATCCTGTATATCTTAGCGAGTTTCAAAACAGGACTATGTCCAAACATAATAGCTCTTTCATCTCTGTAACAGAGTTGCGTGACTTAGTTTGTATGGCATCACATGCACTGGGGTGATGCAACTTATAGAGCGTATGTGTGTTAATACACTCTGTTCTAAAATGCTGTATTACAAGTGTACACGGTTATCTGGATGTTATAGTTACACAGTTAAGATGTGTTCACAATGAATTTAAATCAAGCTTTAAATCAGTCAGGAGTACAGAGGGAACTCGGTGATCGAGGTGAACATGTTTTAACTTGAGTAGGACACATGCACTCCTCCCAAAGCTGTGTGGCTCAAATAAACTGAAGTAATCATCTATTAAGTGAGGTGCAATAATGTATTTTGCATTTAGTCTAAATATGCCAAGAATCCCATAGATGTGCTTGTGAGTGCTAGTGAATGTTATGGAAATGTGTGTGTGGTTCTCTGCACACGCCTGCTTGTTTGAATGTTGCGAATGTACAAAAGAGGTTTTTGCTTGGAATGTTTTTTGCTGGTTCTGTACTGGTGGTATACACTACGGTACATCTCTAAACAATGTAGTGTTAATAAATATCACATTTGAATGTGTGTGTACAGTATGGGGGGGCTTTCCACATGGAGGCTGAAAGCCCTCAAACATAAGTGGGAATAGCTGATGAAGATGACATACATTTGTCTGTGCTGTGTGTTTGTATGCCCTCTGATTGCTTCTGAATGTGCATGTGATTGTGTGTGTTTATCTGTCTGTCCTGATAATGTGTTGATTGCAAATGTGTGTGTTCCATCTTTACTGCAGCAACTGTGTACTTATCTGAATGCCGTTACTGAAAGTGTATGAACGTTTTACATTGATCAAAAACATTAACACAGTTAGCATTCTGCTCACTGTCCCTGCATCAAGTCATGTGCATCTGTTTGAACGCTGTGACACGTGAGCGCGTGTGTAGTTACTAGGGCTGTACCTGACTAAAGATTCTGTCAGTTGGCTATTCACTGTGACAATTCGATTATTTGCTCTTTTTCTCCCTTTCTTTTTTATATATATTCACCTTAGACTACAGAAAATCAACCAGCATGTATTTTAGGGATGGTTTTGACCACATTAACATTAACATCGATATTTAAATGCAAAAGAGTGACAGTAGCACATTTCTGAACATTTTAAACTCAATAAAGACAGCTGCATATGATGCAATATTCAAACTAATGATATATAGTAGTATAGGCTGCCACATGGATTAGTTGGAATAAGGAGGCAGGCAGCACACTTGTATTTTTGTTGAAGCGGTACTCGTATAGGCAAGTTTTTCTCCTCAGACACGGCTATTGCCTAGTTAAGCAACAAGTTTAAGCTTCTCCAGTCAGTTAACCACAGCACATGTTGTTACTGTGCGTTTGATGAGTGCCAGCTTGCACTGCCAAGGACTCCTCTTATTTATAATTCCTCACTGAAATGTTGTCCCATTTTTGTTAGCTTTGTAGTTCGGATGGATGTACATCACAGAAACAGTCAGTAAATGGCTGTGTGTTGCACTTTAACGGAGATGGATGAACAAACCGTACTTGCATAACATTATGCTTATGTCATTTTGCTTGTAAAAGCAGACTTCAATGCTTGAAAACACTTCTAATAAAGTACAAGTCACCTTTTTGTGGCCTGTCCTAGTGGGTTTTGTTGTCCTTTTCTCCTCATTCTGCAATTTACTAAATAAATCTGAACTTAATGTACTATATCCATGTATCGGACAGTGTCACTGTTGAAGTGGGTGTTCTCTCCCGAACCACAGAGGATAGCTGCTTAGCAAATCAAAATGAGGAGAAGAAGATGACAAACTACCGGGCTGGGACTGCCTCTTATTGCAAAGTATACCAGGGCTGACAAGAACTAAAATATAATAAAATGAAAACAAAGGCTTGACTAGAAGAGTCTGTTGACTGACAGGTCTCTAGAGTAATGACTCGACTATTGGAACATGTGAGAGCAACCCTAGAAATCATCAGTCCTGTACTGTACCAGCAGTGATGGTGTCTTTATCTTTGGAGGTCTTCTCCTCTACCAAGCTCCTCCTCTGGATTTCAAATCGTCTTGCTAGACCCTCTCTGGGTTTCCACAGTGACTGCAAGATGAGGGGCTTCTCATTGTCCCCAACGACTCTGAACCCTTCTGTTCTCCACTGAGGCTCACCAATGGAGCCAATGGTATCGCAGAGAACATAGGACTCTGCCTCTTCCTTGCCCAGGCCATACCTGGATGACATAGTTAGGTTAATATAATCATCATATTCATAAAAATAAGTGGATAAAAAAAAAAAAATTTATTCCAAAATTATTGGTGCACTTAAGGAAATTTTTGGTTCCAGACTTCAGTAAGTGCTAGTGATCGTGTTCATTTTGGAGTTATGTTTGTGGCCACCATAAGATATTTACAGTGGTGTGAAAAAGTGTTTGCCCCCTTACTGATTTCTTATCTTTTTGCATGTTTGTCACACTGTAATGTTTCAGATCGTCAAACAAATTTATATATTAGTCAAAGATAACACAAGTAAACACATCATGCAGTTTTTAAATGAAGGTTTTTATTATTAAGGGAAAACAAAATCCAAAACTATAGAGCCCTGTGTGAACAAGTGTTTGCCCCCCTGTCAAAACACTGTTTTAACACTTGTATTTCTGTTGAAGCGGTACTCTTATAGGCATGTTTTGCTCCTGAGACACGGCTATAGCCTAGTTAACCAACAAGTTTAAGCTTCTCCAGTCAGTTAACCACAGCACACATTGTTACTGTGCGTTTGATGAGTGCCAGCTTGCACTGCCAAGGACTCCTCTTATTTATAATTCCTCACTGAAATGTTGTCCCATTTTTGTTAGCTTTGTAGTTCGGATGGATGTACATCACAGAAACAGTCAGTAAATGGCTGTGTGTTGCACTTTAACGGAGATGGATGAACAAACCGTACTTGCATAACATTATGCTTATGTCATTTTGCTTGTAAAAGCAGACTTCAATGCTTGAAAACACTTCTAATAAAGTACAAGTCACCTTTTTGTGGCCTGTCCTAGTGGGTTTTGTTGTCCTTTTCTCCTCATTCTGCAATTTACTAAATAAATCTGAACTTAATGTACTATATCCATGTATCGGACAGTGTCACTGTTGAAGTGGGTGTTCTCTCCCGAACCACAGAGGATAGCTACTTAGCAAATCAAAACGCAGAGAAGAAGATGACAAACTACCGGGCTGGGACTGCCTCTTATTGCAAAGTATACCAGGGCTGACAAGAACTAAAATATAATAAAATGAAAACAAAGGCTTGACTAGAAGAGTCTGTCGACTGACAGGTCTCTAGAGTAATGACTCGACTATTTGACTATTAGGGGGCAGCCCTAGTAGTTACCCAGCAGTGAGGACTGAAGAGGGCAGCTGACGGACAGGATGTTCTTGTGAACCAGTTCGATGGGTCCTGGTCTGTGAGAGATCTTGTCGTTGAGGTCGTCGGCCAGTCGCGCTCGCTTCAGCTGCAGCTGCTTGGCCTGCAGCGATGGCTCTGCCGACGTTTCTGAATAAGACATGCAAAGACAGCCAGACATGCTAATTCAATCTAGTGAGTCATTTTGATCTACAGTAAAAACAAAAGATGTACAGTGACATATAACCAATTTAACTATTTTCTGTGGAAAGGAAGTTGATTTTCTGAAGACCACAAATACAGAAATAGTTGGTCCTCTTTTTAGCACTTCTCCATTTTAATCATATCCAGTTAAAACCACAGCAAAAGCAAAAGAGCTGCTACTTGCTGCTAGTTTGCTAAGAAAATGAACAAAGGAAGAGCATCAAGTAATGAAGACAATTAAAACCAGTAGTTACAATTGAGCACAGGAAAGGCCTTATGTGACATGCATACTGATGAAACTTAAACTAGGCAATAACTAATGTAAATAGCTAAGGCCATGTGACTAAATCAGTGAGTTTTATGGTGCTTATATGGTGACAAAAATGATAACTTAAATTTAGTCCAAAAGTAAATATAATGTAGTACATTAACCTTACCACAAGTATTTGTTTACTGTATGATTCCTTTTTAATAAAGTTTCATGAATATCACATTGATTCTTTCATTCTACACTCTTAATTCCATTAAAGGGATTCTTCTCAGTCTAAAAGTGCAGCCTTGCTTGTAGGTGAAAACTCACCCTCCAGAATGTGCATCCGGACTAGCTCAGAGCGCTCAGGGCGACTCCGGATCTTCCTCTTCAGGTAGTCCTCAGTCTGGGGTAAAAATAAAGGACGGACAAATGATGGAGGGGTTGCAGATGGAATAAAAAGAGGGTCACAAGCAAAGATAGAATAAAGAGTGAGGAAGAAGAAGAAGAAAAAATGAGGACAGAAGAACTTGCATATTTTAGTTGCCACCTTTGTTACACTGCCGTAGTGTTTCAGCATCTCACTTACCAGAGATCATCTCTTAAAAAGTGCATCCAAGTTGTCAGAAAAATTTAGAAGTCATTTATAATATATGCACAACTTTCTTACAAGCAAACAGTGAATGTTTATGTCTTTGTCATTACATTTTTTGTGAGAGAATTTTCTGCAGCTAAAGCTCAGGTTTGGTATGTTCAGCAAAGACACTTCTTGTTGGTGATGGTAACTATTGCATAATATAAATAAGCCACAGATCATGCATATCATTAATTTTAATTTTCATGAGACAAATCTCTTTGTTGGCAGCCTCAGATTGTAGCAAGAGCCCAATCAGAACTTTACTATTTAAAAACATGATATGTAAGCAACCCTGTTGGTTTATGCAGCTTCATACCTGAAGAGTGGTCTCTCAGTGCTGTCTGTACAGCACTCAGGGTTTTCATTTACTTCCTGTGAGCAGACAAATGTCTGTACTGACAGCAGAATTCAAATCATGTTTTGTGATTTATTCTGTTTATACAGTACGTAAATGGTTCACCCAACAAAGCGATCGTGTTCAGAAAGAAGAGAAGGCACTGGGCACTCACCCTTGCTCGCTCCAGACTCCTCCGCTGTTCGTGAAAGGCTGCCGGGCTCTTCAATGCTGTACAGAGAGAGGGATGGAGGGGGAAGAGAAATGAACACAGCTCACGCCAACACTGATGGTGATGCTTCTTTTAGCAAGTAACAATGTCAGAAGAGGCACTGCTACTGAGAAGATGGACACAAAGCAGAAGTAGCTGCAGGATGATAAGCACAAACATTGATCAGAGCTCAGCCCTCTGCAGCAGGCTCTGTCTGCAGGAATATCGCATTATTTTTCTGCAGCAGAAGCCAACTCAGTTATCACAAAAAGAAACTGAACTGCAATTGTTTTCTTAGACTGTTACTACGCTGTTCAAATCAGTGATATTATCATTGTGAAGCTGGTGCAAGTGTTGAGGCTCATCTTAGTTAAGTTGGGTTTTATCATCAGACAAATCTCATGGAACCATGAGCTTCCCCAGACCCCAACTCAGCAGTTTCATTAGCCTAAATGTAACCTAGCTCCTCACCAGGCGCTCCATTGGTCACATTATTCCACATGAAGTTTTCCCTACGTATTCCTACTTTTAACACAGGTTAGAAGTTGAGTTGAGCTGAGAATCTGAGGGACATTAGTCTGGAGCGGTCTTTAGAAAGGATGACAGAGGAGAGTATGCACTGATAGACTGCCACAACAGTCTGTAATGTACCTTCTTCCTATGTTTATGACTGTTCAATGAGGAAAAAGGTCATTCCAGAGCCAACACATTACAAAAGTAGTTGAAGAAACTTGCATCTTGTTCGTCAGTGTGGAGCCTAGAGCACAGCTTCTAACCAAACGGAATAAAGAATTTTTAACATTTTAAAATTGGACTTGGACATCGAGAGCCAACTCTCTGGCTTTAACATTAGAAACTTTTCAATGTTCAAATGTTAAGGTGAGGCCAAACAAGCACAAAGATCTTTGCTCTATATTTGGGGAAGGATATTGGGAGGACAGCGGCAGTTACAATGATGTAACATAACAAGCATCTGATTGTTCAACAGATGGTGAAATCCCTGCCAAGGGTGTGTGAACGTGGACATTCTGGCAACAGTTGGGCGTCCACTGTGCAGCACGTGTGCACCACATGACTGGGTAGGGTCATGTAATAACCTCTGAGGCTGAAAGAAGACAACTTACACACCAGGTATGGTACAACCAACTGTTAGAAACACAACAAAGTGGAGGAAACTGCTCTGTTCCTCCTGGCTACATTGAAACACACAAGAACTAAGAGAGTCAGAGACAACAAAACAGAAATCTTCCCTGAAGACCAGGTGGAGTAACTGGCCATGTTTCTCAACAGCATTTGCTTTGACAAGTTCCTACAAGCTGGTGCAGTTGAAGTACAATTTCATAATTGGACAACCTCAAACAAAAGTGGAGGGGGCAGAAAATGATCTAACCATGCGCAGAGGAACTGAAAACCTTTGGCATATAAATATCGTTTCCAAATTTGTTTTCAATAAAGGTAACATGACCAGGCAGGTCTTGTTTCCATTAACGGGAGGTGAGAAGTCCAGTGCCTTGCTCAAGAACAGCTACACAGTGGTTACTGAGCAAAGGGGGATGGAAAGTTTTTCATTCACACCACCTACAGCTGCAAAACCAGTGTGAGGATTTGATACCACAGCAGGGACTGACCCTTCATCAGTTCCCAGCACTGGCTGTCTCTTCTGTTGCTATATTTTAGACAATAGACAATAGATCCACCTCACATTATAGTAACTGTATGAACAGAACTATTCAGACAACTGATTTTTGTGCAGCAACAACGTGTTCATATCACCATGATACAATTCTAGTTGATACATGATGATGCACCCTCCTCTCCTTGCTCTTTAGCATTGTCCGTTTGATCCATACACTGTCTATAAATCAACAGAGGCCTGGACAGAACATCAGCCTTTACTCTGCCTTGCCACAGCTTAGGGTAACAATCACAATAAAGATAATAAAGTGGTTGAGGAAAATATCACATTGGTAGCAACCACAATCTCTTTCATGCCTCTACCCTGTTTGTGTTTTGTCTCCCTTTCTCCACACAAAAGTATCTTGAGACTGAAATATTCCACCAGTAAAGCAGCTAATGGTCTGGCATAAGGCCTGTTGCATGAGGAGGACAGACAGACTTACTGAAATGACTAAATGGTTGAGTGTGAGTCTCACACTGCCCACTGAAACAAGCCCTTCATCGGTGCGCCCACTGCAATCCATTTTTTTATGCCTAACGCAGACCGAGCCAGGTTAGCTACTTTACATGCATTTTTAGTGGACTATTATTCCAGTCCATGGTGTGATGTTACCGTTAGCAAACAGCTGTGGTGGTACACAGCAAAAAGAGGTGAAAGAGCCTTTTGATGACAAGGAGCATCTTGTGCTTACTAATGAGTGACAGTGTTCCACTCATGTTTTTATTGTGACAAGTCAAAAATACTCTTTCTGTCTCCTCTTTTGCATCTTGTGGGCATCTTTAGCGTCTCTGAACATAGCCTAACAGCAGCCGTGTCAGGTGTTCTACCTAAGTATCTTCTTCTGCTCTACACTCAGCCATAGACGATTAACTAGCACATATATTAAATACAGGTTTTCTTTTTACAAAGAGCCTTCTTGAAAAAAGTCCATACTTACTGCCCACAGATGTTCTACACTAATACAGAGGAAAATTTACAAAAATACATCAACGCCTCTTGTGATGAGCAGAACAGTGAAACAGGAAGTTGATATAGAAGAGGAAGCTGCCCTATCTGATAACACAAAGTGGTGCAAAGACACCACTGAATGACACATGCAGAAAGCACAAACTCACATTCACACCACATGCATATAAAAGCTGACATTTTCAGAAAGAAACTTAGAGCCTCAACCTAATACTATCCTTAAGCCTTTTTGATGTCAAACACAGACATAGTGTACTGGCACATTATGTATAGCAAAGGTAGGTAACCAGATGTGTTACAGCACACAGGCCCATTTAGCATGCGAATCAACTGACCATAAACAGCAACAACCAGTCAGTCTCTGACATGCTGTCTGTTGTTGTAACAAGAAAAACTTAACTCCTTGACCTCAGCTCAGAGGCACAGACACACTGCCATAGTTGTCTGCATGGGCTTCTGTAAAGCATCATCAGACTAAGACCTTCCACACACTAAATAAGAACTGTGTTTAGGAGAGACTTTGTCAGTCTGAGCTGTTTCTCTACTATATATTGAACATAAGCATCACTGGCTTTAGATTTAAAAACACAGCATATATACACAAGTTAAAACAGAACTAACCATGCTGATGGTACATCATGGAAGTTACACAATACCATTTCTTAATTTACTGACAAAAACCCTGAGCATCACAGAGATTGAAAGGAGAGACTTACGTGGCATGATCCCTTGGCTGACCAGTTCCTCTCGTGTGCGTCTCTGCTGTAGTTTGAGCTGGAGGACTGCATGGAGACAGAGGAGGTGAGGGGAGAGAAAGACGAGAAGTCAGTCAGTAACAGTCGGCGAGCGAAACTGCAGCGACGGTGCTCTGAGCTCTTAAGGCTTCCTTCTTGTATTTTGTCGTCCACTGATGAGCAGAGCAACCTCCAAGTTTGCATAAATAACCACACAGGGGATGCCAGAAGGACTGACGTGAAGAGTACCTGCACTCTCTGGCACCCCGTTCAACTTCACATTTCCCTTTTCTTTTCTGCTTTTTTTGAATCTACAGAAGAGGCGGGTACAAGGGTGGTGTAAACAGAGTACTGCACACTTCCTGTTTCTTCCTAACCTTTTTTATTTGTGTGCAGAAGTGTGTGAAAAACACAGTTCATCATTCCTCAAAGAATCAGTGACAGAGATAAAACAAAACAGATGAGGAATCAGCAAAGGAAGCAAAAACAGTGGTTTGGCCAACTCTCAGAAGCTTTATTCTAAGAGTGTATGGGAGAAAAAAATAGTGCTGATTGTGCCGTCATCTCGAAACAGGAAGCACTTGTTATATAAAACAGAAACTAGGAGAGAGTTTTTAAGGGACAGTGCAGAACAAAAGTAGCTGGACCATGTCTGACCTTTCTGTACACACAAGTCGCTGTAGTGCTACTGTGTTGCCCGATCATTCTCACTGTTGTACCTGTTTAAGTCAAACTAATTTAACAACGTGAGCCTCCACCTGAAAACACATTAGCTCTGATTCTGGCCTCAAACAAACAACTGAATATTAAATTAAAATAGATTATTAATCACAGTTACACAAAGACATGATGAATTTCAAGTAATTTAAATATACATAGCTTCAGGATCATGTAAGGACACAATGTTTCATCATTGGCTGCTGCATCAGTTTCAGTGCAACAGAGTGACAATTAGGGAAGTAGCCAGGTCCCTTAGTCAAGCATGTAGACAGCTAACCACACATCTACTCAACGAAAACATCACTGACCATGATAGAAATAGATGTACAAAACAGATGCTTGGGGGGGTTTCTGGGGTCCATAAGTAGCTGATGCAGCACTATACTTCCATTTTGCCTTTTGGTGACATCCTGTTGTCATGTTAAAACTGACAATGTGAGTCATTTGCTGTTCATCATGGTTTAACATTTATAGAGTGTGATACAATCAAAAGCAGAAATGAGCATGGTGTTATGCCAAATACTATTTTACTGACACTTCACTCACTTCGCTGAGATGTTTGTTTTATATGGACCAGCTGTCCCTGCTGAAGTGGTTGGTGTGTGTAACACACCACTGACGCTTCCCAAGTATTTCTGGCTGTTGTTGTGTTCACTACATTGAGGATAAGCGGTACCTATTTCTAACAAAGTGACGTCATTGGTGCTTGAAGGCTAGCTAACCAGTTAGCTGTCCTGCATAGCTGCTGCTGTGTTAGTCATGACACACAACTCAGGCCTAGACAGCTACACTGCGAGTTCAGCGTCTGGGTGTCATTTCTTGGCTCTACATCCTCACTGGTGATCACAGTTCTCCTCTGTTATGTTTACAAGTGTGTCTGCTCTACAGTGTAAACATCAGAGCCAACAGTAGAGATTCCTCTCTGGAAGAAATAGCATGTCAGTTCACAATCAGTGATGTAAACAGAGATACCAGCAAAGTTCACGTATATGTTGCAGCCGTGCAGCAGTTAAGAGATTAATTTTCCCTCAGTGCCACAGTTAGGACACTCACATGTTGCCTGAACCTGCTCTCACACATACACAGACAAATACAAAACTGCAGATACGCTGCAAAGTGCAGGCTAAGATGCTGCGCCACTTGGCACTTCCAGGGGGTTTATTGTTGGAAAGTGAATCTTGTGCTTTCCCTCTATCCCAGCCTCACATCTCAGTGCCCCGTTCACACACCAAGGACACCATTCCTATCTTTTTTACTCATCTCTGGCAGTAAATGAACTGGAAGCACTGGCTGTTTAGCCCAGCAGCTACTGTACAGTGGCTGTTATCACAGGTTTACCAACCAACATCAGCATATCACAAGGCTTAAAAATGATAGTTTTAGCCGTCAGTAAACTAATTTTGTCAGTGGTTTAAAACAAGCAATTGTAGAAGTCACACATACATGCTAGTGACGTGCTAAGTGTGAAACGCTGCAGTGGTGTTGAAAAGGTAGGCTGATGTGTGGTAACTGAATCATATGAAAGTGCGGTAACAACCGAATTTTCAATAAATGACAAGCATAGGAATGAAAAGCAAAGCCTAAACAAATATATATGCCAGTAATCGCTAGTACTAGAATCACAACCATAAAGTAAGCTCTGTATTGGTGTCACTATCGGTTTGTATCAAGTATCTGCAGAAATATTTTTTAAACAGCACAATCTGATTTCCTCATATGAGGTAATGAAATAAGAGAAACCACAGCCTGACTTCTGCTACACAACCCCAGTATCTTGGCCATGTTTTAAAACAGACCTCAAAGGGGGGCCTAGCACTGCAGTGTCAGCAGAGTGGAAGGATGAAATACAGATCATGATTTGCAGCTGTGTATCCTTCAAAACAATAACTTAAACCTAAATGAATATATCAGTCTCCACAACTGAACAGGACGATATCTGCAAGATTTACTGACCAGCTGCATAAAAACCTGGGCTTTAGAGTCAACAGGTTATTGCAGTGGCTGTATGTTCTCCAATCTGCCTTAACATGGTTTCTCACAGTAACCAGGTTTCACATGTGCATGGAAATCTAGCTGGCGGTGATGCTAATTTTTTAAATTATGCAACGCTAATTCACTGTTTGAAAACCTTAGGATTAAATGACAATGCCTGTCTTCTGGAGAGCAGGACACACTATGGATCTTAAATCAGGACTGAAAGTTATTTTGGTTAATTTAAGAAAAGCGTGAAAATGCGGGACAGTTTTAGTGGGATACTAGGCCACAGCTAAAACTGACCTCCATTGTCATAGAATGTTTGAGTGAAGGAACAGAAGGAAAGAGGCAGAAACACAACAGAGACAGCTGCATACGCCTTTTAGATAAAGTAGAGGGAACAAGAGTGAACCACACTTTGCTTATTCATCTGAGTCTGTCATCTGACAAGCATCTCTAACCACTATGACACTGTGAATGTCACTGAGACTATGAAGAACAGGCCATTTAATATTTTCTGCACCCATATGTTTACAAGGGTTCACATGACACAAGTTTCACCAGCTGCCCAAGTCTGCTAGGGCCTGCATGGGTGTTCGTGTGCAGCCCAAACTTTGAGTGCACCAACTACATGTGCTACTCTGTTAAAGTGGATGCACATTCTGTGCACTGCATGTGCGCATGTCTCTCCCACCCTTGATCCTTTTCTTGCTAAGCAGTTACACCCATGATTGTGGTGTGAATAGAAGCACGTGGGTCAGTGTCCAAACACTATGTCATTCCAAAGGTCAAGTGGAAACCATGAGCTGCCCTTTAGTGAGAACGACAGAACAAAACACCAGATTGCTGTAAAATATCATATAGCCCAGAGAGGGAGAGGAAAGGGGTCACGGAGCTAGAACCAAGTTCCTGGTGGCCAACTGGGCTAATCTTGCTGCGCTCATGTGTCACTAGATCTGATTAAACATGTCTGAGTTTGTTACTGTCCCCAAAGACCCCAAGCATGGCACAGCTGAGTCCACACACACCCGCTACAGCAACACACAAAAGCAGACTGCTCCATACCCCCACTGAGTGAGGAAGTGGGCACATGAAGATGGCAACATATGTGATGACATATACCGAGCAAACAAACTCACTGACATGCACTCAGAACAGACATTACACTTGGTACTGGCGCTGGACATGCTCTATGTGGAAAGCATGCTAATACTCTCCTGCAGGAGCTCATCATTTGCACAGTAGCACAGTTTGACGGCATCTGCTGAACAGAGGGATGAATGTTTTGCACATCAGTAAGAATGGAGAGAGGCTAGAGGGCAGGAACAACACAAGGTTAAGGCCATTCACACCTTGGACTCACTCCCACTGCTGTGCTGTGATGGGAATCCAGATGACAACCAGAGAGGTTGCAGTGAATACCAATGATCTTAAAGTTCAAGGAACACCAGTCAAATCCTCAAAGCTTTCATGGCTTAACGCAGTTCTTGTCACTCATGCCTTCTCTAGACGCGACGCATGGCTTTCTTAAAGAATTTAGCAAAGGATGTGGAAGAAGTTAGCAAAGAGCAGATATGGAGTATTTACTTTTTACCCGACAGCTGTAGTTTCAGTGAAACAGACAGCTGTTTTAACAGATGCTGTATTCACATCTTTCTTTCCCCTTGCTGTTCTCTAGATCTCCTCTATCTTCCATCATTGTAACCACACAAGAATGTCTTGTTGATTTGTAGTCGACCACTTATGACTCTTGCAGTGTTGGTTATAATCAAATTAGGATGTAACCCCAGTTTCTGATGTCACTGGTTTTTACAGGTTTCTGGGACACAATGTTTTTGCAACCCCTCAGTGTTTGCTCTATATCTGAAACTGTACAGTGGCAGTAAGCGTTATCATATTTGATGCAGCCTATAATCCTCAGTACAACACTACTCTCGCTTAGGAAAGCGACTTGACAGCGTTTTATCAAATCTGAATCTGAATCCTTTCAAATTGTGGTTTCACTACATGTTTTGTCACTGCATTGTGACATTCATTTAACTTCCAAGCTCATTTTTCCTTTAGATGCAAGTGAAAGTGATGTTTGATCCCAACTGGGGGCTAAAAATAGTAGAAAAGAAAAAGTAAAAACACGTGAAAGTATTAATTCTACGTTATCATTCAGTCAATATCAACTAAATAACTGATGTTGTGCGAGCCTGAAGGTGAACTTGTTGCACTGCTACAGGCCACAGAATACGACATAAGCCCAGTGGCAAGCTACAGCCGAGCACTTGTGCTTCGTAGATTATTAAAAATGCCCCAGGTTCTTACTTTAGCATGTTGAACAGTCAACTTTTAAACAAGGGGCTTTT